TTCCTGTACCTTGGAAAAAAATCAAAGGATCTCTCTTCCACTATGCCAGTACAACCATGCCTGTAAAGAAACCAGGAACCAAACAAAATCAGAACAAAACCAAGCAGACCAAACAACTCCACGGAATCACCAATTTTTGTTAAACTTCCCCTTCCTGGTGCTCCCAGCTGTGCATTCCTGTCCTTTGCCCCAGCACAGCAAGTCAAAACAATTCAGGAAAATGCAGGGGGGAATAAAAAGGATTTATTTTTCCTGAAGCAGGGCGAGTTCGCTGCTATTTCCATCAGACAAGAAACATCTCTGGCACAGCCCAGGGTGGCAGGAGCAGGGAAACTGAGGAGGAGGAATTGAGAAGGGTGGCGAGGCAGGGTAACACCTAAGGATGAGCTGGTGACAAAATGTTAATTCAGCTCAGCTACAGCATGAAACTGTACCCCCCTATCTTGGGAAATCTACACCCATTTCTCTTCTGCATAAAGCCAAGTGAAATACCTGACTCTGTTCTGCCACCTATGAAATGGGGATGATGGGGATCTATGGCATCTCAGCCTTATTTAATCTAAATACACCTTTACAAATGAAGCTTCAGAAGCACAGACAAATGTTGAAATAAAAACCCAGAGCCATAAAATCAAACCAAATAACCCTCAACCAGAAAGCAAAGTCCCTGCTCCCTAGACAAACTGAAATACATTCAACTGATGAATTATTCATTATTGTTTAGGGCAGAATTTACTGTTATTTTAATTTAATCTTTGGATAAAGCATATACTTAAAAAAACAACACTCAACTACCCCCTCAGTCTTTACCAGCACTCAGAAAAAGTGCCTTAAAATGGGTATAAAATCACTGATTCTGCCGCCAATCTTAGTTATTTTTTTGCCTGAGAAAGAAGATAAACCTCTACTCCAACATAAAGCATAAATCACTGGGTGGGGGGGAAATAAAAATAATAAAAAAATAGACTGACAAGACAACACAGCTTCATTAAAAAAAGAGAAAGCCCTGAGGGAAATTTTCACTTTCATTCTTCTAATGAGAGGGGTTGAAAAGAAGAAGCACAGCAGAGAAAAGAAAAAAAAAAACACAACACAACATTATCTGTGGGACAAGACGTAACAAAAAAAAGAACACGAAAGTGAAGCAGAAAGAGGCTTTCAAGTTTAACCTCGGGTTTGCACAGAAAGGACTCTTGCAGTCTTAGCTCTGCTCCCAAAGGAGGGCAAACCACACAACAACCTCGAGACACTCAAAACTCAGCATATTCCACGAGCAGGAGGCTCCAGAAGAGAACAGGTCAAGGTTGGCATCAGTAGCACTGCAGTTGTCTGAACCACACCTAGTCTGCAGTTAAATATAGAGCTTTACTTTCTGGAACCACTGCTCCTCTTAACCTTCAGAACATAAATATTCAGGGAGATATCTACAGAAAAATAAAAAGTAAAGGGATAAAGAGACCCGAATCTATTGTCCAAAAAAAAATCTCAGACCAGGGATTAATAAACTACCCTGGGAGGATTCCAAAAAAGCAGTAAAGGCTGGAGAATTGAATTACAGAAACCACAAGCAGCATCCTGGAAGTCCAGTATAAACCAATTAGTTCATTTAATACACATACCCTGTACTCAGACCCTCAGGTACATCAGACATTTCAGGATATGGCCCTAACTCTAATCTTCATTCTATCAGGTTGGCACCAATAGAGTAATTAATTGAACTGGAATTTTTTGTTGAGTTATATCTTTTTTAAAAAAGAGAAACTGCACCACTTCAACCCTCACCCTTCTTGTTCAGTTCATGGATCAAATCCTGACTGGTGCTGTGCATTTTCAATTGGAGAGCCTGCACCAAAGAAACAAATCCCTCAAAATTTTGCCATCACATTCAGATTCTTCCCTTGAAGTGCTCTCAGCTGTTTTGACACATGGACTCTTAGCAACTACGATTTTTACCAAGTGAATCCAAGACAAAAGCAAAAGCAGGGGGCACAGTTAAGTGATGGAGCAGGTCAACACCCTCATCCTCAGCCAAAAAATGTTTATACAGCATCACAGAAGCATTTCAGAGGGAAGGAAGAGTTTTGCAGAGATTCCACCCTCTTATCTTCAGGCATTAAACTAAGCCATCAAAGTTAGTTCTAATTGCAGGAGGCAGCCAGAGAGGAAGGAGCACAGAGCCCTCCTCTGAGTGCATTAGTGGGATGGAATTGTCTCCTGGATCTCTGTTTCTCCTTCCTGGACAGGTATCAGCCCAAATGAACCAGCACTTTCCTGAGGTTCCCAGAGCAGCAGCTCCAAACCAGGTGCCCAAATCCTTGTGTGCACCAACATCAGAGCCAGAAGCTGCAGGACACACAAACTCAGTGCAGTGAAAGTTGAATTTCATTAGGGAAAACAGTCCATTAAACTGAGATGCCTCCACTTAGAGTCCAAACTTAATCCTGCAGAGGAAAATGCAAATTACCAGACAAATGGCACCTGCCCACATGCAATGCCAAACACCATTTTAGTGGCCAAATGCTTATTCCTGACCCTGGGGCATCAGGGAAACCTGATCTGCTCGGGCCAGAGGGGTCTGGTTACCTTCATCCTGCTGCTGTTATGAGTCATATCATGGCCAAGCCTGGAAAACTCCAGTGCCCTGTAAGTGAAATTAGTGATTTTCTTCCAAGGGCTCCCAGAAGAGCGTTTTTCTCCCACTCTTTCAAAATCTGTCACATAAAAACAGCTCATCCTTACAGCTCAACGAGGCCTATTAAAGCACAACAGTTAAACAACCATATTCCCATTCTTTATGGTGTAGCTTTATTGCCACACAACACTTTTACTGTGTTCTTGCCTCGAGTAAAACTCCTCAGCTTTGCTTCCCAGTACCCCACACAAGGCTGTGAAACCCAGCACCCACAGTGACCTAGCCAAGGGCTTGGCAAATTAATATTAAAAGCCAGGATTAAGGCAATGTGGCAGCAGCAGAATAAGGAGAAAACCCTGGCAGAAAAGACCTTACAGAGCACAAGACACAGAGAACAAAACCAAGAAGAATTTCATGAAAAATTAGGTTGAGTGATTATGTATCTGCATTCACAACTGGATGATTTCCAGTGCCAAGACCAACTTGGTTCTTTCAATACCCAAACCCAAACCTCACACCTTTCTAACAGATGCACTAAAACATCACAGTTTTAATTTCTGGAGTGTCCCAGCAGTGGCTTGAGGAGAGAGGTGGATGAGGAAAGGGTGGCTTGCTCAGCTCTCTATCAGCAGTTTCCCCAGCAAAGGAGTCTGAGGCACAATCAGGGTTCAAACAGCAAATAACAGCAGTTATTTGGGCAGACAGAAACCAGGAAGAAGATCAGCCATGCCCAAATCCAGCCATGCCCAAATCCAGCCATGCCCAAAGAGCTCTAATTCTACTCCCAACAAGCATTTCACACACAGAGGGCTGATCAGGAGATGGTGCTGCCCTGAAGGCACACAGAGCTGTGGTGGTTCTGTCCTTCTGCACACACAATCAGGACAGTCAGACAAGCATTTCAAAGTGCTAAAGATCCTGTCCTGCCCCTTGTTCTGCCTCTGTGGAGGGGACACTAGAAAAACACACTATCAAATGACAGGGTATTGCATTAGGTCTAACAAAGCAGAACAGATTTCAAACATTTACATTATTTCCTTTGGGGAAACATCCAGGCAAAGCCAAAAATATCAATGCCAGATAAAATATCAGTGCCAGGCCAGAATAGGGAAACAAACATTTTAAGTTACTGGTTCCAGTCCTGCAAAGACACAGAAGTGTGTCTAGCCTGTGCTCCTGAGGGAGCTCAGGATTTCAGCCTTAGCTCAGGCAAATTATGCTCTCCTGCTCCTAATCAGTTCCCAAGACCCCCAGGTAAGCAAGAAGGGGAAGCATTGAGTAAATGTTAAAAACACATCCTACAAATCTACTGACTGAGATCTCACTGGGGTTGCAGACCCTTAGCTCAGGCAAATGATGCTCTCCTGCTCCTAATCAGTTCCCAAGACCCCCAGGCAAGCAAATGGAATGGGAAGCATTGAGTAAACGTTAAAAACACATCCTACAAATCTAGTGACTGAGATCTCACTGGGCTTGGAGACTCGGGAGGAGTGTAGCACACACAGTCATCCAGTCCTTCCATGGAAAGCCTCTCAGAGGGGAAAAAAGGGTTGCAGACCCGGGAGGAGTGTAGCACACACAGTCATCCAGTCCTTCCATGGAAAGGAGGCTCCTCAGCCTCTCAGAGGGGAAAATCTCCTCCCAGCCTTTTAGCCCTGGACAGAAATAAGTGTTCATCCCTAAACTACATCCAAATTCCCCTCCCTTTTCTACTGTACATTATCCACAAAAGAGACATTCCTGTAAGCAGAGGGAAAGGCAAAGCACACCCAGGCTCAGAGAGGAGAGCTGGGAGCTCTAATGATCACCTGCCATTGCATATGGATTTGAAAGATCCACTTTGCTCTGTGCTGCTCCCAGCTCCTGTAAGAGGGTTCTAAGAGCCTTTTTGGACCAGGAATCTACTGCTTGTGAGGCAAAGTTCTGCATCCCAAACAATTACACAAAATGCTGGTATCTACTTTAAAGCACCACGAGGCACCGGGGGGACAAATCAGGAAAAGTGGAAAGGAGAAATGCAGAATGGAAAGAGCTTGCAAGACCCTCCCAAGAGAGCCTGGATCAGGAGAAGTGGAAAAGTTTCTACAAAAGCAAAGAGCTGAACACCAACACGCTCAGACTGAGCTAAGGACATGATGTACAAAAATAAAGAGATCGTGTCCAGAGAAATGTTATAATTTTTTAAACAACACAAGAGGCAAAACAGCTCCTCCTATTCCATCATCACAAATCCAATTATTACAGGTTTGTATGAGGCTACAACACATGCATGAAAAGAAGTCTGGAGTTCACCAGAGCAGGGAAAAGTCCTTTAGAACTTGGCTTTAGAACTCCCATGTCCAAACCCCCTCAGAGAGCCACCACATACCTCTCCATAACAGCCAGGCACTCCTTTCTCCACGTGAAGCGACTGCCTCGCCGTAGTCTGAAGGTCCCAGAGGTAGCTGTGACTGGGGGAGGCGTCTGTCTCCATTCTGGCTCTTCTATTGGGATGGGAGCGGGTCTCATGCTTAGTGTAGCCCCTAAGGACAATAAACACTGTGTTTCCCAGAGGGTTAAAAGTCAGGCCCATCCTCTCACTCCTGCTCGTGAGGAAAAAAAAAAAAAGACAAGACAGGTGATGAAACCATTCAAAATGAAAAAAAAAAGAAGTATTATCAAAGACACCCTAAAGATACATAAAGCCAGGTGGAATTCCTATTTCCCAACCTCCAAGGCAGAAGGGCATGGCCATGGAAATCCAAGAAGCTGATGGGTACTTAGGAAAATCTGTCTTGTTTTCATCAAGAGGAAAAGGATCACACAGAAAGGGTGAGCTGTGCCCCAGCTGGGATTCATTTAGGTTGTGCTGCCACCTGAGCTGACACAAAGTAGGAAACAGCAGTTTCTGTTTAATTATACAGCAGCTTCAGGAAGCAAAATGGAAATTTATACCAAAGGTATTTCAGTGTGTCTGAAGAGGTGAGGAAATACCTGAAGCAGCTCCACCAACAGAAACAGACCCTGTGGCCTGGGCAAATGTGGGCTCATGAATGCCAGGGTGCCTGGAAAAGTCACTGAAAGCAGATTAACATCACAACTTTCCTCTCCTGCTCCCCTTCTATGGATGTATTTCTCCTTTCCCTGAGTCTGAGCTGGAAAGCATCAGGCACAAGACAGGATTTGGCAAGATGCCTTCAGGAAAGGCCCCTTTGAAACTTACCCCTGATCCTTTCCACAACAGCCTCTCAGCTAATAAATCAAGATAAATCAAGATAAATCAAGACACTCTGGGAGATCGATCTGTCCTACATCCCTTGGTGAGGATGGGAACCTGGGATAGGACACGAGGACAGAAACCAGGGTATGCTCTGAAGGACAGCTTTGTGCTCAGTGACTTCCCCTGCAGGGAAGAGAGAGCTGCTCTAGTGTGCAAAAATAAAAAAAATGAAAAGAAAAACAAAAGTTGTATGAAAAGGTAAATCACCACCTATATTCCATAAGCATCCTGAACTCCAGTGGAATTCCTGCACTGAGCCAGCCTGGGCAGACCCAGGAGAAGCAGCAGCCCTGCTCACAGGGCTGGGCACACTCAAGAGCAGGGCTGTGACAGCAAAGCCCTCTGGGTGCTCAGGCTCACTCAGGATGGCTGGGATTTAATCATCAAACCACACAGTGTTAGTGCAACAACACTGCTCCTCTAATACACAGAGGAGTGGAAGGGTCAAGGGAACCCAAGAGTTTCACCAATAAACAAATTCCTACAGCTAAAAAGCAAGAAATGAGCTGCTCAGGCACTTGGCCATGTTCCTTTCTAGAAATGCACACAGAGTCTTTCCCTTCCTGCCAGGGGTTTGCATCTGTGTTAGGTACTGGAGCCCAAAATAATTTACAAATGCTCCCCAGGAGGAGTCAGTAGGAAGTGAAGCCCACAATCTCTGCCTTGCACACACGAGGCACGGTGCCTCTCCCTAATTCCCAGCTAACGAGCCTACACAGATTACTTGGTTCCACTGAAACATGAAATATTTCCTATAGTGCCAATTTACTGGGAGGCCATTTCAAGGAGAGCTCCTTATCTAGTCTTTCTGCTACTTGCACAGTTTAGGGGGCTGGGTGGCTGTTAAGTTGCCAGGCTTTAAATACACTTCAAAAACTTAAAAAAAAATTAAAAATGAAAATTTTAAAAAGAGACAGGGGAGAACAGTTAAAGAAATTAGTTTTCCCTGTATTGTGTTAGCAATATACTTTCCCCACCTGAAGATTTGATTTCACAAGGAGAGTACAGGAGTATCAGTGATCCCTCACATCAAGCCAAGAGATGCAGAATCCTTCTATTAAATTTGCCTGAGATTTTTCAGACAAAGGTAGGAAAAAAATCTGCATCGAAAGCATAAATTTTCTGCTGCTGCTATAGGTATGCTCACGTACTGAATATAATACACTTTTTTTGTTTTAGTAGCCTTCCTAGATCAATTTAGCCATTTCTCTTTTCTATGGGGTAACATCAATATCAGCAGCAGATAAGAGAGGAATATGCTGAGAATTACAAGCAAGTACCCCCACACAGCAAGAGAGGAGCACCTGAATCCATAAAGAGGCCCAAAATGGGCTTGGATGAACGCGTGGAAAAAAGGGAACATGGGATGGTCTGAGTCCCTTCCAGAGCCCAAAGGGGCTCCAGGAGAGCTGGAGAGGGACTTGGGACAAGGGATGGAGGGACAGGACACAGGGAATGGCTTCCCACTGCCAGAGGGCAGGGATGGATGGGATATTGGGAAGGAATTGTTGGCTGTGAGGGTGGGGAGGCCCTGGCACAGGGTGCCCAGAGAAGCTGTGGCTGCCCCTGGATCCCTGGGAGTATCCAAAGCCAGGCTGGACAGGCTGTGGAGCAGCCTGGGATAATGGAAAGTGTCCCTGCCCACAGCAGGGGTGTGGAATGAGATGACTTTGAACCCCAAGTTACCATTTATGATATGCACATTTGATAAGGAACCCATGGAGCTTTTCCTCATCCCCCTCTCTTCAGTGAGCTCCCGTTTATTCTGCTGTTCCAACATTCCATCACAGCATTCTCAACACCCAGCTCCACTTCTTTATAACTTAGCAAGTTACACCCCAGTCACCAGTTGAGATTCTTTTTTTAAAGCCCTCAAACAGCTTTTAAGGAGAAGTGAAACTTCTCTCCTGAGCAGACAGAGTGGGGAAGACGCAGCACAAGGTTTTCAGTGTATGCATCAAACAGCAAGACACCTCTGAGGGGTGCAGAGGTGAACTGCCTGGGAAGAGCTCCTTTCACACACAGAAATGAAAGGAGACAGCTCTCACTCCCTGCCAGTGCTCAGCACCTTTTCCTCCAGCACTGGCTTTTCTCTGTGAATTTTTGGTGTGATTGAGGATGCTGCTGGCAGGTCTGGGGGAGAGGAGGTGCTCTCCAACTGGAATGCAGCTCTCTCCACACTCCAAATTCCTCCTGGACAAGGCCTGCACGTCCCAGAGCCCATCCTGAAGGAAGGGAGCTGCTCTAAGAGCATCCCATGCACTCCCTGCTCCCCATCCTGGGCTCAGGCAGGCCCTGCCATGGAATGGTCACAGAGAGCCTCAGGCGTCTCCCAGCTCCAAGAAACCATTTCCTGGCAAGTCTTCATTTGCAGCAAGTACCTGCTGGACATTACCCTGATAAGAACAGATGCCTCACTGTATTTTTAGCCAGGCTGACCCCAGATCACACAATAAACACCTCTTGGTCAGTGTAAGCCACGCTGGATTGAAATCAGCAGCAGCACAAGGTTCCCTACCCAGCCCAGGGCAGGGAGGAGAAGGAGCAGAGCAGGGACTTTGCTCTGCAGCACATCACCAACCATCCCCTCCCAGTGCAAACCTCGTGGGACAACCAGAACCTGATTTTGGATTGGCTTTTCTTTCATAGCTAAACAAGAACCACTATGAAAATAACAAAAGAGATGCTACATCCTGATAATAACTCCTTTTCATTTTCTCTTTTGTTCAAGGAAGAAGTGCCCATGGCTCTCTCCAAGGTGACCACAGCTGCCTTCCTATTAGAGAAGAGTGGCAGAAATAAATTCCCAGCCTAAATGGAAGCAGTCTGTATCCATCTGTAACTTTAACACATCATTTCGAGGTGCCAGCTTCAGTTTGCACTACTCAGAATCAAGGGACAAGCTGAGGTTACTCCATCACAAACTTCCCACATTGCCCAACACCCAGTGCCAGGGAAACTAATCAGGCTAGCAACTACCAATCTAAAAAAGAAAATTATTTAAAACCTATGGGCTCTGAAAAAAAGTAGTGAGAACATTGCAGGACACTACTGGCTTCTGAAATACATAAAATTTATCTATTGCCAAAATGTTCTCAGTCCTCCACTAAACACAGGACAGACAAGTGGTGCCCGTGAAAAAAAAAAGCTCCATCTAAATGAAAAGCATCCCTATTAATTGGAATAAAGACCTTTTAAACATCAGTATTTAGCATTTACTTCTTCCCTCCAACAAAAGAAAAAACTGCCTTTCACCCCAACTGGCAACTCCTTCTAGAAAAATTTACAATCAGTAGCACACTGGAATTCACAGCATTGCCATTAACTCTGACATCACTCCTACCAAGAAAACATTGATTAAGACATTTTTTTGAGCAAGATTATTGCATACAGTGGGACAAGTGGGTGTTTTTCTCCTGTTCCATGAGACTCCAAGTCTCCTTTGCAACATTCCAGTCTGGTGCTGTCTGAACACCCACCACCAAGGACAGGAGAAATGCAGAAACTGCCCATGCAAACCAGCAGTGAAACCAAGGCAAATAACAAACAGCACATTCAAAGAGCTCAAAGCCAGCTGGAAAAGAATGGAAGGGATGGAATTGCTGAGTCTTGTCCATATAGGACCAGCATCTGAACAGCAGCAATGCCCTGAAACTGCCCCAAGGCTCCCCAGCACTAAGTTTTGGTTGGCAGATGTAAGCACTGCCTGTAGATGATTTAAAGCATCACATACCACATTAAAAAAATAAAAAGAGAAATAAAATCTCTTTTGATATATTTGCAAGTCGTAATTTGCTTATACAAGCACAGTAAAAGACAGGTCCTGCTGTGAGGAGCTGAAGGCAAGGCAGGGGTGTCACCCACAGGGAAAGGTCTCACCTGTATCCAGGAGATGGGAAAGGGAGACAAAAGGTGAATTCTACAAGTTGCACAGAAAAAAAAAATCCTGGCAGAATCAAGGGAAAGTCTGCCAAGAGATTTCCAGTTCTTTCCACACAAACTATCTCCCCTTCACAGTTTAGGAACTGATTACATCTGCTGTCCTAGTCCTTCAAAACTGTTTCAGTTTTAGGTTTTCTTTCCATTACTACACAAATTCAATCCAAAAATTGGATTTACTCTGAAGATCCAGTTTTTCAAGATAAGGAATTCTAGAAATTGGGGAACCCATAGTTCCCAAAAGCCTCACTTTGCCCTCTGATAACTCAAACCTGTGGGTCCCTCTGCACACAGACCTGACTTTCTCTCAAAGGACTGAGATTTCCCTCCCAGCAGGTGGAACTGGAAAAGATGGGATCTATGAGAACAGAAAGCCAGATGCCACCTTTTAGTAAGTGAGCAACTAGACAAAAAACCATGGCAGTCATTTCATCTCTCAAGTTTCTTCCAAGGAGGACAATAATTTTTTTTGGGAACATGGCCACTGATTTCCTCATTTTCTGGCTGTAAGGAGGACACCAAACCCTTTACTCTGTCTACTAATCACAGGATACTCTAAGTAGTAGCTAAAACTCCAGCTCCAGATTGGTTTTGTAACAGAGATTTACATCCAGGATTCCCTGGACAAGGTTGGTGCCTCCCTTTACACACTTGTTCATTCCCATGCTAATTATTCTTAGCTACCTGGGCTGACCTGCAATATAATGGATGGCAATAACTCAAAGCAGTGTTGTATTACCCTACAATGAATAAATAAATACAACCCCATTTTCCTCAGGTAGATTTTCCCAACAGCAACAGGAAAACTGAAGGTTGCTCCCTCTACTTCAGCCTCTAAAATGAAACCAAGTGCTGTCTGGTTCTAAAAGGAATTTAAGTGCATCCAAATAGTCCCCTGGCTTAGGCAGAGGAAACAATTTGCCTTTTACACTCCTTGAAAATGCTGTTTAAGATCTCTTATTGGGAAAAAGGTTACACTCAAACAAGCACTCTTCAAGGAGTTTTTCCATGCCTAAAGCAAAGCAGAGTTAACGTTGACTCATTTCAATTTCAGCCATAACCTTCAATGTGGAAAGTCTTCCTTCCTCAGACACCTCTCAAGAGCAAAAGGACAAAGAAGATGTGAGCTCATGGATATGGGGAAAAAAAGAAGGAAGAAGTAAAGATTTTAGAGCTAAGTTGAACAAGGGTTCTGTTATTAGCACAAAAAACTATTTCCTAAACAGCTTCTTGTGATAGTGCAAATAAAGGATGCAAGGCTGGGAAAAAGCCACACAACAGGTTTCATCTGGAGAGGGTTTTGGTGGTTTTTTTGCACGTTCCAAAAACTCTCAAGTTTTCTCCACTACTTTGGAGGCAATAACTTTCATGAAAGGGAAATGTCAGGGAGTTATTTTGTAGGGTAAAACGGAGCCTTTCCAAGCAGCTGGTACTGGATGGTTGTACCCAGGAATTCTGCTGATCCTCAGGATCACAATTCCAGCCAGTGCAAAAATCAAGGCTTCTTGGCACTTTTTAAAACAACTTTAAGAAAAAGAAGCCTCAACATGCTTAATAGAAAAAACAGGCTTAGCTGTCCCTCTGAACCCACCCAACTTAAATCTGAATTATTCTCAGGCCAACTGTTGGCTGGAGCCTCTTGATTTTCAGTTTACACACAAAGCAGAAGTTTTGAGGCTCTGATTCCCTTGGAATTTTTCTTAATAGAATTCTGGACATTGAAGCCAAGTTCACATTAGAGAGCCTGAGTTTTAAATTCCTTAAAACAATTACACAGTTAATTTAATCAAGCCAATGTTTAAAGGAAATTAAACATAAATATTTTGATCTTTACAATAAAACTGTTAAAAGGGAAAAATAAGAACTGTGGTCAAACAAAATCTATGGAGGAGAACAATACAAGGAAATTAATTCAACTGTGATTTTGAAGATTGCTGGTTAGTTAAAGATAATGAGGAGCTTTACTTCTCTTTTTGTTTTCAAGATCTATTTTGAGATTTGAAGAAGCAGGTGGGATTTGAAAGACACATCTCCAGCTTATCACTGTAAGTATCAACACCCAATCCATGAGCTTGAGATCCAACCCAAAACCCTCTGAAGATCCTCTCTGACAAAATGTATGGGTTTTTTGCTGAAATTTTATATTAATGCAGCCATTATGAATGGTTTCTATTTGTTCACTCTGAAGAGCCTCAGCTTATATTTCACATTAACTGATTATAACTTCACTGGCTGCTTCTGATTCCCAGATTTAGTGAGTGGTGGGAAGGCAGGGCAGGTATCTGTGGCTGAGGAGCTGGACAGACAGCTCTGGACAGACAGCTCTGGATGAGGCAGCTCTGCATCATTTGTTGCAAAGCAAAAAGCAGATTTCTTCCCACCCTCCTAAAAATTAACCTGGTCAGAGGGAGAACCCTCTGGAGTACCCCAGACCAAGAAGTGAATTATCAGTGCTAACAAGCAAAAGGCTTCCATTCTGTAAATAAACAGCAGGAGATGTTTAGGCTGCATTTGTTTACCAGGATTTGTCTTCTCAAGCTGGTACCATCTGTAAAATGCCCTTTTCTTCTGTTCACTCAGGTCTGACCCCTGCTGCAACAGCCAATGGGAGATCCGGCTCTGACTGATACCTGTGAAAAACCAGAACAGAACAAAAAAAAGAGAGAAGGAGAAAAGTTCAACAACAAAAGAAAGAGAAAAGTTCTTCTTTACCAAACATTTTAAGTGGTTTGTCTACTGATAAAAGGTGGTGTCTTACAAAGCCCAGGACTTTGTGATGCTTCAATCCCAGAAAAAGCAGAGTTGAAGCTTCCCTGCTCTGTCCCAAACTGCCCAAATTTCTCCCTGGGGTTATGTTCAACCTTACTCAAGGAACACCCTGGAATCTGCATAATCAGCCCCAAAGCAAAGAGGGCAAAAACTGGGAAGCCAAAGCTACCACAGACTCAAATTGTCCCCAACTTCCCTGACTCCTAAACTTCATCTGTGAAATGGGAACAAGTCCCTTCCCCACTATTACATACAAATAATGATTGTTAGGAAATCCTTATCACTCAATGCTTGAATAAGAACGGAGATAAAAACAGAAAACAGTTTATGTGATATAGATCACATCAGCTCAGAAATGGAGCAAACCAACTGCCAGCAGCTGTAACAACAGCCAGAAAACAACCCAGGAAGAGCAGCTGTCTGTCAGCAAAGCAGGAGCCAAGCTCGAGGTACCCAGGCAGGATCAGGGACAAAACACTGCAGTTTTTAAAGCAAGAGTTCTAAGAAAACAGTAAGAAGGGGGAAAAAATTCCTAGAAGTTAATACAGTTATTTCCAAAGCAGAGAATGAAGGATTAATGCAGGAAGGGCAAAAAATGATCAGCAGAGGAATTAAATAAAACAAGATGTTTAGAAGTGCATGAAGAGATCAGCAATAGGTTCACCTGAAAATGTAAAAATGCAGAGTTTGCTGAGTAACTGAACACTACTTCAGAACTCCCTGCGCTTTCCACAAGGCCCTTCAGCTATCAGAACAGGTTAACAACATCCAAACTCTCCTGAGAAGTGAAGTTTTAGGAGGTGCTCCAAGTACCAATGTGGTGCCAACACCACCTGTGCCACCACCTGCTTGGTGATATCACCCGGGCAGGTAGAGGCTGGTTTGCACACAGAACCCAAACTACCTCCCCCCTCTAGAGATGTATCAAGGTTTTATAAGCTCTCATAATCACATTTAACTCATGAAAAAGACACCCTGTAGTTTTACCACTTCTAAACTGGGGGTTTATTATGGTTTTTTTTTTGGTGTGTTGAAGGTAGTTAACTTCAGAATGTCTCAACTTGACTCTCAGGTACCATATTCAGGTGGGTTTACACCAAGCAGATTTTTAAAATCACTGGGTTTGTACTCTTAATTGTTCTTCCTCAAACAGAATTCTGGAGGCTAGGAAGTTTTAATTGTGCTGGAGGAAAGCATGGGTGTGTTTTGTTTCAGATACAGCAGCTCACTGCTGCTCAGCAGAGCTGTGCCCAAAAAACAGACCCTGATTTTCCCAGACCCCATTCTCAGAGACTGCCTTGCCCTCAACTGACAGAGTTCAGGAACAGCTGGGGCAGCCAAGAGCTGCCTGCCCCCAGGGCCCACAGTGAGATCTAAAACTGAGTTTATACTACTGGGGAAGTGGAATTATTCAACCAAACACAGCCCTCAGACTCTGCCAAGTTTACATCAAGTAACTGTGGAAGCACACAAGTTAATATCAGAAGAAGGCAGTATAAGTTGATAACACTCTCTGGCCCAAAACAAGGCTCCAGCCTAGCTGAAATCCTGCCATCTGCATGCCTGATCACCAGTGCAAAAATGTGCAGCTCTTGACCTATTATGATTTATAAAAGCCATTTCTTGTCCTGGGCTGTAGGACACAAAGGTTTGTGTCTCCCTGCTTTTGGCTGCCCTGCTCCCATTAATTAATCACAGTTCCAGTCATTTACTTGTTTACTATGGTCCACTTACACTTATTGCAGTGAATTAGGGTGTGTTGAGTGTCTGGATAACAACCTAAGATACAAACACAAAGCACTGGTAGATAAAAATTATAAATAGAGATTAAATGTCTGCCATGAGTGGAAAATCTGAATCCTGCTCAAGAGGCTGCCTGACACTGTCACACGTGGCACAGATGTCACCACTCCAGACTATGTGCTCAAGGGCAAGGCACAGCAGCAGGAGCCAAAAAACTCAAGCTGGGTCTTGCCATGTCCACTTTCATGGAATCACAGAAAAATCTGAGCTGGAAAGACCTTTAAAGGTCATCTAGTCCAACACCCCCTGCAATGAGCTGGGACATCTTCAACAGGATCACGTTGTTCAGAGCCCTGTCCAACCTGACCTTAAATGTTTCCAGGGATGGGGCAGACACCAAATTCCTGACCAACCTGTGCCATTTTCATTGTAAAAAGCTTCTTTCCACAAATGATGCACTGTCCCAATGTCCTGAACTGCATCAGTTCTCCCAAACAGAGCTGGATCTGTGCTGGGATCCTTTTGTGGCTGTCATTTAGCCACAGCAGCTGAGCCTCTGACCTACTGTGAGTCCTCACAGCTCATAAAGCTGCTTCTGTAAAATGTTTTTAAGGCATAAAATTGATCTGTACCTCAGCAAGGTTTAGAGGCCCCAAAACTATCCCAACAGCTTGACCAAGCCAAGGTCACATGCAAAGTCTTTCAGAAGAACTCATCCAGGATTTCCCAGTGCTGTGAGATCCAAACCTATCCTTAATTTGTTTAAATGTAAAAAACAACCCCCCGGGTTGTCATGTCAGAGTTTCTTGCATCTCAAGTGGGTTTCACACAGTTGACTCACAGGACAGTGACCAGCAGGACCCTCCTGTCACGTTGTCTCTAATCACACTCTGCTTTAGGGAATTGCACTGGCAGGAAAAAAGAAATCATCCTGCTGCCAGAAGCAATTGATGAAATAACTTCTCTGGAGTAGTGAAATTCACCCTCCAAGTGAAGCAGGGACCTCAAGGAGGGCTGTGGTGCCCTGGGCTCAGCATCAGCAGGGCCAGGAACACACCTGGTTATGGAACCAGCAGTTTTCTCCCTGAAAATGCTGAAGGAAAGTGGTATCCAAAGGATTATTGCAGCTCAGATGCACACTCACTCCTTCCCACAGCAGGTCACACTTCCCAGTGATAAACAAAAACAATCTGTGCTCACTGCCCTGGCCAGTCCTGCTGTCTCCTACAACTGATTAGGGGAGAGTTTCCCCTCCAAAAACATAAAATAAATGGCAAAATACATCACCAAGAGAAGGCCATTGCTATGTGCAGCTCAAATCTGCTCACAACCCTCAACTCTGCTATTCACCAAGTCTTTGGGAACTGGTTTTCACCTTCACTGATAGATTTGTTCAGCAGCTTTGCTTTGCATTTCTTTAATGTTTCTTTCAGAAGCACCTGGAACACATCAGAGCTGGAGAAGAAAGTTAACTGACTGTGTTTTAATTCTTCACTTTGTAAGCCAAGTCCCAGATTCAGAGAACAAGTGCTTGCAAAGGACATCTATCAATTTAGGAGATTAGCAAAGCTTGTTTACAGAAAACCTGCAAAGATCAAAATCATAAAAAACAAATCTCTGTGTAGTCATGACTATTAAAAAAAAAAAAAGGAAGGAAAATGTTTCTCAAAATGCAGCTTCATGCCATTTGAGATGATCAATAATTCAAGAATTTTCTGAATTCTCTGCACAGTGGAACTAGTTAAGTTTCCCTGTGTATTGGCATTTGCTCAGCATCCCTGTGTGGGTTCCAAACCTGTGGGGATTTTATTTGTTCCAGCAGTGCTCCAAGGCTGCCCTCCACTGCACGTGTGTTTAGCATAATCTAAAGCCAAGTCCTGGAGATCTCCTATCAATTAAGGCAGAGACAGGAGGACAGGGCTGGGTTGTACAAGCAAAATAATTGGGAAGGGTACCAGAAATGCACCCTGGAAAGCTCTCTGTTATTTAAAAACAACCCAAAAAATTACTTTGCATTTTACTGTTGATGGGTTTGGGGGTTTTTTTTTTGGTTTTTATGTTTTTAAGAACTGAAAAAACTGAATTGAAATTTCTGCTCTGTAACTTCAGAAAAATAAGGGTGGGTTTTTTTTATTCTTTTACTCCCTATGTGTAAAAAACAGGAAAGGTAATATTTCCAAACCTTGCAGAGGCATCATCCATCAAACCACTTTAGCCCATCTGCAGAGGGCTCATCCCTGTGCTCTCCTCCCTCTCTCCTCTACTGTAGAACAGAAAGACATCAGCTCCTGAAAATATTTCCCCACCCTCCATCTAACTTTGGAAGCTCAGACAGCATCTCTGAGAGAAGTTTACATTTCTCTCTTCATCCTCTGCCTTCTGACCACAACCTGGTGGCCAAGTACAATTCTTGTGGCAATTTAAGCAAATTCCAAGACAAGACTTCAAATTCCAATTGATAAAAATCTGGCAGCTCACCTGCCCCACGTGGGGCAGAACCCCCAGCCCTGAGCAGGCTGCAGTGATGTTAAAAGGAGCTCCAAACACCAGGAGAGGAAATTCCGCAGGAACTATTATTAGCTCCTGTTTATACTGTCATTTTTCTTATCAGTAGGAGATTATTTATACAGAGCCCAACCCAAGTGCTTCTTGTTTATCTTATTACAGACACCATTAAAAAAGTTTCTATAAAAAGCAGCTCCTGTTTTTAGGACCAGCACTAGTAAGTGTTATGCTAAGTTTTTGCTTCTTATCAATCATCCTTTATTTTCAAGTCACTTTTTAATACCCTGTTACTATTTTCCAACCTGCCCTGTCCTCTCCATACACCAGGCAGCCCTGTAAAATGTCTTCCAGGTTTAATTTTTCCCGTCAGATTCATTATCTAAATGATTTTTACAGTTTCTGGTAATTTTATAAGGATTTAGAGAGCTTCAACATTTTTCTACTGCAACAGCTGACTTTAACCCTCAGCTCTGTGCTCCTCTCTCCTGCATCCTCCCTCTCCATCACTTGCCTCGTGCTACAGCAGGAAAAACAAAAAGGAAAAGCTGTTTGCTGATGCAGAACTGCTCTACAGAACTATGGATTCTGTACCTGCTTTGCAAGGTTAGAATTAAGACGGGAAAAAGGAAAAATGTTTCTGAATGAAAGTGTGGTTTGAAGAATTAGCAAAATTAGGCAAAAAGGAGGTTTTGAGGGGTCACGGTTGCAGTAGAGGTTTCTGCACCAAGGACAGAACATGGCAAGTTACAGAATGGGGATAAATAAGGCAATAAGGACAGGGGAAACAGAGAATTGGTAGAAGTTGTAAGGAAAAGCTGCCAGCAGAGGTAGCCAAGCCAAGCCACTCTCCTGGACAGAACCAGCCTTCAATTTTTCATTTCTTTCTTGCCTCTTCCCAGGGCAGAAGGGATGAAGACTAAAAGCCAATTTTTCTATTTTCCTCTTGTACAAGTAACTTTTTACAGAAAATCTTTATCAGTAAGAAAAAGGCTGTAAATCTTGAGGTGATGCCATTTGGGATTATACACTCTGCAAAGCCTCTGCCTATACAAAATGTTTTTTTACTGAACCAGAAGTGGTTTCCAGACATTCCTTGGGAGTCTCTTCCCCAGCTGAAAGGGATGTTGGAGGCATCTGAAGAACACTCCAAGTCATCCAGCACTCATCAGGCTGAGACAGCTCTGGAAGGGAGAGCCCTGGGACGCTCTGCTCCGGATCTCTGTCCCGAGCTATTTCCAGTCACTCCTCACCACTCCCTGCTTTGGAGAGGAAGCTGATGTTTCTCCCTGCTAGAGCGGAGCACACTCTTTAATCTGGTCCTTCCAAACATGTCTTTGAGATTTACCATTTCCCTCAGATAAACCATTACTGTGCAGTTAGGAGTGGCATGCAAGAGCTTCCACAAGGCCGGGGGTTGATTTAAGATGAATCAGCTCCCACCAATCACACAGAGGATGACTGAGATGCAAAGATGCACTGTTTTCCCATGGGTTTGGCTCAAAAATAAGATAATAACATGATGCCTTCAGCTCAGCCCTCATTCTGCCCCACTGACACCCTGCAGTATTTCTCTGTGGATCCCCCTTGTGCTGCACAGGAGGGTTGAGTGGGAAGGGTGTGAAATCCAGCCAGCCATGCCATGTCTCAAGTGGATGGTTGGTGTCAATTGCTCACAGGAGGAAACAATGAGAGCTCCCAAAAGCTAAATGCCAACTTAATGCCCACTGAAATCCAAGAGAACAGGCTCAGAATGGAAGGAGGGAAAGGATCAGGTGTGAAGAGATTGGTCTTGTGTTTCCTACAGGTATCAAACACATGCATCAAGGGTAAATTATAATTAATCAATTAATTATAATTAGATCCATTCCTTTAACTGACACAGACTTGGATCTGGTGTGGTGATTCTGATTCAATGACACCACAACTGGCAGTCCCATTGACCAAAAAAAACCCAAACACTGGTTCCTTTTGGAAAGACTCCTTTGGTGCAGTTTTCCTCTCTTTGCACTCTTTCTCTTGCAGGGGAAGCCAGCCTGACTTTCTGGGTGCTATACAGAGGTTAATTCAGAGATGGGTTCTTCCAGGATTATATTCAGGCAAGGAATGAACAAAAGCAGAAGAGTGACCCACTATGTACCAAGATTTTAGAGTTCAGGTACAATTTAAGCAACTCAACTTATCCATTAATTTTTGAAGTATTATTGCTAACATCTGATAAGGCAAAAAAACATCCCTTACATTTACACAAATTGTTCATCTCATGATTTTCAGGATGAAACTGAGACTGGGGAAGGACAAGTCCTTTTACCCAGGATCACAGAAGAGGTGGAGACATAGAAAGAATTCCTGGCTCTGTGGCTCAGGCAGCAATTTGTGCTTGCCCACCTCAACTGCTGCCATGTCTGCAAACCCACAGCTCCCAGACAGGTGGATTCCTATGACATTTCAAATCCTGGAAATATCATAAAATAACAACTTTCCTCCTACTGCTTTGGCATTCCCAGACATCTAGGAACCTTAAAAATCATCTATTTCAAGATCTTTATCCAAGCTTAGGTTAAAAAGTTAATAAATCTTAGAGGTGTAACATGGGATTGAGCTTTTTGAATTTTATCATCAAGTCTTCATCCTAAAAGAAGGGCTGGAGTGAATCCAGAGCAGGGATTGGAGCTGGGGAAGGGCTGGAGCACCAGGAGGGGCTGAGGGAGCTGGGAAAGGGGCTCAGCCTGGAGAAAAGGAGGCTCAGGGGGGACCTTGTGGCTCTGCACAACTCCCTGACAGTGAACAAGGGACAGGATGAGAGGGAATGGCCTCAGGGCAGGTTCATGTTGGATATTGAGAACAATTCCTGCCTGGAAAGGGCTGTCCAGCCCTGGCACAGCTGCCCAGGGCAGTGCTGCAGTCCCTGTCCCTGGAGGGATTTAAAAGCCCCGTCGATGTGGCACTTGGGGACATGGATCAGTGGTGGCCTTGGCATTGCTGGGGGATCAGACTCAATGGTCTTAGAGGGCTTTTCCAACCAAAATGATTCTGAGGCTGATCCAGGCAAGGCCTGTGTGCCTGGAAGGGAGAAATAACAACACCTCACCCCATGGAGGAGCAACAGGACTTTGTTACCTCTCTGTAAAGCTCTGGGAACACACCCAGGGAAGAAGTGGCACCACTGCAGTGAGTTCACCAGTCTGGGTGTGAGAGACAACTCAGGGCACAGGACACCCAGAACTGCTGCTCCTTCCAGGTAAAACCTGAGTTGGTCTGGTCATCCCTCAACCTCCCTTCAGATTTTTATTAATTGTGACTCAAAGGATGGATGAAACTTCCAACTCTCATCCTCCAACTCCTGCCTGCAGTGTTACCAGCTATAGCTGTGTCTCCTGACTATTCATACACTTTTTTATATATAAATACACATTATCTCTCTCTCTCCATACCCAGAGATGCAGATATGCATCTATTTGCCGCACTCAACAACAATTTAAGAATTAAGGAAAACCGTTTTCATTTTAAGATAAGAACTTCAGGCTTTATTATAATGCTGTAAAATAAAATCTGCCAGCACAAGCCACAGGAAAAAAAAAAAAAAAAGAAAAAAAAAGTGATTCACTGGGGAAGTTCCATGATGTGCAGGACAATGGGTCTTAAATCAAAGGCATACATTATCATGACTAAGCTGACAGATCTGCACTGCAATGCAGAAAGCCAAGTGATATTCCAACATCTGCACCATGCTCAGACAGCAGTTCAGACACAGAGATTCCCAAAATGAGGAAAGGACTCCCCGAGCTCTTACCTGTTACCTGTGCAACAACTGCTTGGGAAATCCTCCGGTTGGCGAGGAAGGCTTTGATTTCCTCCTTGATCACACTGCTGTCCCTCCTACCAAAACAAAACAACAACAGGACACACAAAAAGAGGGACAGACCAAGAAGCAAAATGCCTTTATTTCCTTTATTTAGGGGACAAGGAATGGGGAAGGCTGGCATTAAAACAGCCCAAGTGCCTCAGTGCTGGACACTTCTTTTAACAAGTGTCACGTTTGATCAAAGCACCATAGCAGGAGAATGGATGACTCATGTCCCATATAATTCATATTAGGTGCAGCACTGCCATATGGAATGTACAAAGTTTCATTACACAGGGATGAATAAATCTCTCATACCAGCATAAAAACCTCACTCGTAAAAATGAGGCAGAAAAATAAAAAATAAAGGATAGCAGGGGCTGCATGGTTAGTTGCTCAAATGAATATGCATACACCAACCTCCTCCAGCATCCCAAGGAAAAGATCCAAAATTTTGCAGCCTCTGTCCTCACACCCTTCCTTTAGTACCCCACTTAGTCCCGAGGTTGCACTGAATGAACTGAGATCTTTGTATGATTTTTACAAGGTCTGCACAGGTAGTTCAGAAGGGGCTAAAACTGTGCTAAAAGCAAATAAAGTGGAGGTTGCATATGTACTGTGATACACAGCAAATTTCAATTGCAATAAACACATGCTTTGCCCCTCCTCTTTCTCTCTCCCTTCCTGAGAAGGGCAGGCAATTAAAACCAGCCTTTATTAGGCCTTATGAGACATCTCCCTTCCCCTTCTCCCCTCCTGCCCCAGCTGCACTGAAGGCAGACTCAAGCTTGCAAATGTAAATGCAAAACAAATGCTGTGCTGTGGGTTCATTTTTATTTCTGTACCCAACACTCATCATCATATGCCTGCAAACACAAGCAGTTTCAGTTTAAACAAGCACTAAAAGCATTACCTGAGACTCACTGCACAGGAACCCAAAGCTCAGCCATGGGAACTTGGCACTCTGCTCTACTCACCCCCTTCCTGCACGACTCCATCTTCCTGCAGCCCACAGCAAATGAGGTTGATGGGCTTTTCTTACTGCTCATCTCTAATCCTCTCCCCCAAAAGCCACATCTGTCCCTGAAATCTCCAAACTACTTCCAACACATTTCCATTCTGGAGCTTATGGACTCCAGTCCTCCCACAGCTACTTCAGGAATGGTGCAGTTTTGGGGGAATAAAGAACAAATTCCAACATTATGACCAAAATTGTTTTGAGACATTTGGCCTTTCCTCTTATTTCTTTGTGCTCTCAAAGCCCACTGACTGACTTTCATCCTCAAGAGTATAATCCCCTCCTTTCATCTTTGCCATAATGCTGAAAAGAAAGCTGCTAAAAGTAAAGGAAGGTCAGCCCTGAAAAAAAACCACCCAATGGCTCTCAAAGAAAACTTCTGCTTCTTCTTTATTATTTGTATTTCCCTGCATCATTCTGCAAATCCCTGCCACAAACTATAAACAAACAGCATGCATCCTCTCCAGATCCCACTGGAAAGCACTGACCAACCCAAGCTGGATTCCCTACTCTCCCTCTACATGGAAGGAATTACAATGGGTGTGAAATAGTGGAGGAGGAGTCATGTGAATTGATATTTGATCAGAATCTTGAATAGAAGTGAAAGAGTGCTCTAACATCAAGCCCAATTTTTGGTGTAGCACTGGAAAAAGTATTTCAACAGTCAGACTGTGGGACACTCCCACAGGGCCAGGGGATGCCTCCCCAAAGCAGGTGAGAGGTTCTGGGATGGTGAGCCTTGAAGCACTGGCAGGAACAACTGCCTGAAGCAGCTCCTGCTCTCCTGACCATCATCATCATCATCATCATCATCAAATCCTCATGGAACAATGTAGGTTGGAAGAGACATTTCAGGTCATTTAGTCCAAACCTACTGTGATAAGCAGGACTATCTCCAACTAGATCAGGCTGCTCAGAGCCCTGTCCCACATGACCTTGAACATTTCTTGGGATGAGACACCCACCACCTCCCAGGACAACCTGTGCCAGCATTTTACCACCCTACAACCCCTATCTGAGCAATCTTCCAATGCACCCACTCCTGCTGAGGCACTTCACACCTCCCTACCTTCTACAGAGACCTCCACTCACCTCATCAGCTCCTCCACCTTGTCGTCGATGTCCAAGTCCTCCTCGGAAGCCTCGAAGCTGTAGGACCTCTGGGCCAGGCTGTTGGCCAGGGGGTAGCGGGTGGGCGACATCTTCCCGTTGAAGGCGGACAACCTCTCGTTACTCTCCCTCCCGTTCTGATTCGTAGTGCAAGGCTGTGGGGAGGTGTCGTAACTGTTGCTCGGGGACGGGGACATCCCAGAGTGCTGCGTCTGCGTGGAAGCCGTGGCCGTCGAGGAAGACGCCGGCACGTTGTTGGTGCTGTTGCCGTAGGAGCCGCCTCCGTAGCCAGACCTTCTCCCGAATTTGTCGCTGTGCTCTTGGTCCAGACGGTCCAAGGTTTCCAGGGCGTGCAGGATCTCATGCCTGGTCATTCCCGTGCGTCTCAGGCGCTGCAGGAGGTCGATCTGCTCTATGGTGAATCTTGGCTCGTCTGTGTAGTGAGACATGGTTTCCAGCAGGCTGGAAATGAGGGAAAATACAAAATACTTCAGTTCAAGAGTTCTACGTGGCACATGGAAGGTACTTTATGAATTCTGCTGGAAAACTTAAAGACACACACATGTGGCAGCTCCAAAATTCACCTCCAACCAACCTCAGTCAGAAACCTGCCATGAATGCCAACCTCACTACAAATCAGAAGGGCTCATTTTCCTTGGAGCGCTCCAACAGAATTTCAGACCTCCCCTGACATTCCCCACACCTGCACCAACCCTTTTCATATTGATAAACCACTGCTACAGAGACTGTTGTTTGTGCCCTTTTGTTTTTGATAAACCACTGCTACAGAGACTGTTGTTTGTGCCCTTTTGTTTTTGATAAACCACTGCTACAGAGACTGTTGTTGCTCAGTAATTATGGCTGCAACTTGATCCCAGAGAAAATTTTGCCCAGTGTTAAGTACCCACCAGACAGGAAACTCAGATTTCTGTGGTGGCCACAGATCTGAGTTTTTCTGGACAAGTTTTCACCAGTTATGACATGAGACTTATGAATCTCAACTCTTTCAAATCTTAACTACAAAGAATTCGAGTTGCCCTAACTTTTGTTGCTACCTTGAAAAAAAAAGATAAAAACACACCCAGCAGAAATTCTAGTGGCCTGTAGGACCCAAGTTGATCTGACTGAAGTTGGATTTCTGAAGTTAGGAACTTTTGAACCTGGAATGTTGTCACAGATTGCCTGCCCTGACAAGGAAAGTGCAGCACATCCAATTACACCTGAGCTTTCATTTAAAGAAATAAGTCTTCAGCTTTTTCTCCGCCAAAGACTGGCTTCTCAGGTAACTCGACTGTCCTGGTGGCTCAACAAAATCATTTTAAACTCCTGAACTTCCCAAGGTGCCACAACAATGAACATTATTTGCTGCAAAGCCCAGAAACGGAACTGAAAAATACCACAATATGGTCCCTTAATTGTGCTTCTTTCCTAAGTCTCCTGGCTACAGATCCAAATGTCACACAAACAACAAGATCTCCTCCTTCAGAACTCTAGATCTTGAGAAGGAGGAATGGCAGATGGAGGGCAGGCAGAACTTGGCAAGCAGAATTCGGCATTTTCCATCCTTCTCGGGAATCTTCTCGTGAGTCAAGGGTTTATTACCATTCCTGCAGGAGAGCAGGGTGAAGAGATCACTCAAACTCCAGGAGACGTGACAGAGCTGATGTACAATCCCTGAGAGCCAGGGCAAACCACAGCTGAGGGAAAGTCAAGGAAGAATTCCAAGGACCCTGTGAAAGCCAGGAGAGGGACGATGGCTGTCAGGCTGAGAGACCTTCCAGGGACAGGGCTGCCTATTCCTCCCCACAAATTTTGAGAATGACTCCTCATGTCCATTTCTGCCCTGGCACAGAGAAGTTCCTAACAGGAGTCACGGAATGACTCAAGATCCATAGCTGGGGCTGAAGAACAACACTGAGTACTGGCAAGTTGGAGTAGAGCTGAAGTAGAGCTGTAAAGACACAGCCAGGATGCACAAATCCACAAAAATGGCACTTGCAGCCTGGGAAATACAGAAATTACAAGAAAACCCCATCTTTGTCCTCATCCAGCAACCACTGAGCTCCTTACATAGTTTCGTGGGAGAAGGAAGCAGGAGGACAATGCAAGGGGATGACTCCCATCCAAGAAAATGCCTGTGTGAGAAGACAGACGTTCCACATCCACATCAGCGCTTCAGCCCAACGGGAATGTGCTGTCCTCCAGAAAACTGATTACTGGAAACGTCCAGGCCATTTAAAATTTTCCAAGACAAGCACCCAGACTGTTGAACCACGGGAGGGCACGGCAGGCAATGCAGCAGTCGACCTGCAACTGACTGGAATTGTAACAACCACAATTTGGAAGTGGCATCTCAGCCTGAGACCTTCGGAGCTTGGCGGGGAGCTTTTGGAAACAGACGCTGTGTTCTAGATTTGGCCTCTGGAGGAGGCAGGGCTGCTCCATCCTCCTCTCCCAGCTTTGGGAGAAGTGTCACAAGGACTTACTGACTCATCACAGCCAGCTCCAAGCAGCACCGTTTTCAAAGAGAAAAATCTCTTTAAACATCTGGCCTTGAGGTGGTTTTCAATGGATATGCCAGCTCACCCTTCCTCAGGGCAACACCTGGTTTGGACACTTCTTAGGTGTTTCTAATGTCACCATTTCCCAGATCATTTATCTGTCAGTACCAAGTTTCATGTGCTCAAGTTCTTTGTTTGAACTGGAGAATTTAATGAGCCAGAGCCTCCACTCAAAATTCCTACTTTACAGACTCTTCAACATTTAATACTAAAACATACTTTAAATTATTTAATCGTCCATTTATTACAGATGCAGAAACTCAGAACTTTTGTCCTTGTAGCCCCGTGAACTAAAAAACTCCCATCTGACAAAAACAAGACTTTCCAGATGGCTTCAAAATTGTCAAGAAACACAGACTCATGGAATTACAGAATGGTAGTTGAAAGGGGCTGTAAAATCATTTAGTTCCATCCCCTGCCATGGGCAGGGACACCTTCCACCACCCCAGGTTGCTCCAAGCCCTGTCCAGCCTGGCCTTGGACACTTCCAAGGATGGAGCAGCCACAGTTTCTCTGGGCAACCTGTGCCAGGGCCCCACCACCTCCTGCAGCAGTTGGTGGCCATGGCCAGCGATTCTCTCTAAAATTTGGGTGTCATTCCTAATTTGTCTAAAGTGCTAAGGCTCAGCTCCTGGATCTGGGTGCCCAGGCCAAATTAATCTCCTTTAGTGAATTACACACCATGATTTGGTGAATCCTAAGTGTCCTTTAGTGAATTCCAGCTAATGAAGTGCAGAGTTCTCAGATGCAGGGGCAGGGGTTGACCTCCCGTCGCTCGCGGCCGTAGGAGGGAAAGAGCTCCAGCCTCAATTTGTACCTCTTTGACACAGCTGAGCTTGTGCAGGAATTTCAATTCACAGGGATGCAAAGGCTGCTTTTTTCTGCTGGGGCAGAGAGGGTAAGGCCACCCTCTGCCCCAGGAATAAGATATTCAATGATTTATAACTTGTCTTCTGGAGTCCTGTTCATCAATGGACTTTAAAGCCATGAATAAACTAATGTAAGAGTAGCAAACCTAATGTCAAATTAACTCCATGACACTGTGTTTAACACAACCACTGGAAAAATGTGGACAACTTGGAAAGAAAACAAAACAAAACAAAACAAAACAAAACAAAAAAAACTAAAATAAATTTTCTGCTTGTCTGTACATGCAAAGAATTCTTCCAGCCCCCCTGAAACTTTTAAGGCAACTTCTGGGTAATTTTTAAGAGGTAAGAACACCAAAATTAGAATATCTCCCTGCTGGTCTCACTAATATCATAGAGAGATGCCCAAAGTGCCTGGTTTATATTTGCACACTCAGCAAATATTGCACTGACATATCTCATTGCTCTTCTTGATCTGGAACTCTTGTACCCATCTTCACGTGCTTTTCTACACAGCCATCAGATCTAGAAATAATGCTCCTGAGGGACTTTTATGATTGAAAACAGCTGCAGGAACTTGGAATTTTCCATTAAAACCCCAAAACAAATATTGCAAAATGTGGTATTATTGAACATGTTCCAACATTGCCAACTATCCACAACTTTTTAATGAATAACTACAGCAAGCATTATTTCGAACTGTTACTCGAGCAGGGCTTTGGTTATTTTCCCTTTTTAAAATATTTTAATAAACTTATCCTGTTTAAAGATCAATTTACAAAGCAGTTAATTAAATCAACCGTTTTAGAATCAGCCTAATTTCATTCACCTCATTAATGAGTGAATATTCTCCACCACTTCATCCCCCCCACACTGCAGTAAGAGCCTCTTATCCTCCTGCACTCCTCTGGCTACCTTTAATACAATTTATTTCCCCCTCTTTTTCCTTGTGAAATACAATCAACTGAAAAAGTAGCAAGGAATAAAATAAGATAGAGAGAAGCAGAATGATTGGAGGGTATAGAAAAAAATCAAGATGGAAAATTCTTTTCCTGAGAACAGGGCTGTGGACTGACTTTGCTGTAAGCAAACTGCTGCCTGTGTAGCAAAATATCCTCTACATCCCATGATTTATCTGCTGTCAATACTCTCACCACTGACCATGGGCTGTCAAATTTCCTTGGGGAGACATCCCAAAAAAGAGAGATAACCAAGGAAGAACAGCTGTGCATTTTTCTCCCTGAAATTTTGCAAGCAAAACTTCTGCACATTTCTAATTAAGCTCAAAACTAAAAGTGTCTGATTTTTTAACAACTGAATCTTGCCCTAAAGTTTCTTTAGGTTCTGGCAGAAAAAAATTAAGTAGCCTAAAATATCAAACTTATTTACATTCCTTACACTAAGTTGGCAATCATCCCCAAAAAGATGGTCCAATTGTACCATTCTAAAGCATTAAAACTTCATGCTTATATTTCACAGCTCATTCTAAAGCAACCAGAGGTACCTGGCATATCACATGGAAGGGAGAACTCTAAGGAGGTAAATAAAAAGGAATTTATTTCCAACCCAAACCCGCAGATATAAAATATCCAGCAGGTCCCAACCAGCCCAATGCAGCACCACTCCTTCCCTTCTAAGGGGACTTTGTGGAGTGGAGAATGTTCAGGGGCTGCTCTTTCTTATTCCATCAAGATTTATTTACTCTTTTTTTAAAATGAATTTCACCCTTTGGATGTGGGGTTCCCTCCCCAGTTTGACTCCTCTGATCTCCAGTGGGGATACAAGGCCAGAGTGCTCTCTTCCCTTCTTTTCCTGAACTGTATAGAGAAAAGTAAGGAAAAACACATCAAGGGCTTCTCACCTACTCTCACAGCCCAAGCCCACGCTGATACAAGAATCATTTACCCAACACTTAACTTTCTAGGTGATGGAGCACAGCAGAATAATCCCATAAAAACAGCTACGAGCTAAGTCCATGTCCAATTGAACTCGCAGAAGTTCAAAGCAATTCAATTACCCGTTTGGGAATAAG